TGAGTAGTTGAGCTTGAGTAATTCTGGTRTTTGTGCCTGGCATTGCCAGAATTTGGCCTTGACATTTGCTGTGTGATGGTAACAGATGCATTTATATGTGGACTRCTCTGGGAGACCACAACTGCCTACTTTGTTTGAACTTTATCTTATCAGCTGTCTCTCATATGAAGGCCATTTCTGTATGACTTCACTGCTTTGGAGGTTTTGGGTAGGAACAGTAGACCTCTTTCTCTCATTTCTCTGCAAAAAGTCAGACAAAATATCATTGCAGTCAGTGTTGTGATGGCAGTTTTGGTGGAACAGCTTTTCAGAAAGCAATTAAATATATTCTCTGTTCTCATAGTTCACAGCTGTTCATGGTCAGCAGAGGAGCAGACAGTGCTAGTGCAGAGCTTCAAGTGGTGTATTGCAAATTATGAGAACGTAATGTACCTTGGAAGAGTGCTTGTGATGCTGTGGAGCTTCACTTCGCAACGACCAAACAAAAGGCAGGTGTTTTTATATTTATTTCATTACAGTGAGAGGGAGATGTGAGCATGAAGAGGGAGAAGGAGGGTTAGTGGTGTAAGTGTAGCCACAGGCAGAACAGACCTGGGCAGGGTGTCTGCTGTTCAGCCACGTGCCTTCTCAGTGGGACAGCCCTTGTCTGCCTTAGGAGCTCTGTTCTACTTCCCAGYGATTTCATCCTTTAAAGCAGTGTTTGGAGGCTTTGCAATACCGCTCCCATCTGTATTTTTGCACCTTGAGGGCTTGTCTGTGTGTAAGAGGGAGCACTTGGACCAGCTGAGCTCCATGGGTCTCGGTGGGGCTCACAGCTGGCCCCTCCTGCTGCAGCCCCCAGCCCAGGAGTGCCCTTTGTCCCTGTGGCTGTGCCAGCTGCAGCCAGCTCTGRGCACAAACCAGGATCACACTGCTCCCTCACCGGCTGGGCACAGAGAAACAGTCCAGCCCCCACAGGCAAGAGGTTTTTTGYTGGTTCTCAGCCCATCCTTCCCAAGAGAAAGACCATCCTACAGTTTGGTTTTCATTTTTTCTCTGCTAGAAAAGGACATCCATTAAATGTCATGATATTATGACAATGAGCGTTATAATGTCAGTGTTTTGCCTGTAAAATGATGATAGCAATGCCTCTGCRTATTTCACTGACTGCAGAAGAAATCAGATGGGAGGAAGAATGGGCTTGGACCCTCCAGCATGAGACAGAGAGGCACAAGGCTGATCATGGACTCTACAGGTATTGCAGGTTTGGCACTTAGTCTTTCTGGTGCTGTTAACTACAGCATATATTGGGAATTGCAGTATRGCTGTGGGTGCCAGCACCACATCCATCATTCTCAATACAATGCTGCTCTTGCTTTTGACCTGCCCTGCAAGGGCTGTCTTGACTAATGAGGGTTCTGGGAAGTGTCCACRCATTGTAAAGCAAAAGGAGGTTATTTCCTTACATTGTGCCATGCTGTGTGATGAAGAGGTATGGACAGCAGCCTCTTCAGCTTGCTGCTATTTTCATTGGGCTATGAATAGTCTTGTGAGATCAGTGTTATCTGCTCCAGCGTTTGTTGTGCTTTGCATCAGGAGGTTTTCATATCTTTATTACATGGACCTATGTGCAGCTCCAGGTCTAAAGGGTGAGGTGGGTCTGGCTGGTCCTGCGCTCACCTGGGTGATGGAATGGGGCCCTGACTAGCGATTTGCCAGGCTGTAGTTCCTAAATTCCTCCYTCCCCTTCTTGGGGCGGTGGCCACAAGAAATCAAAAGCTATCATCACAGTAGGAGATGCAGCCAGTTATTCCACATGATGGGTCCTGCTGCTGCTTGTCTCCACACCCCCTCCACACCCAGTGTTTGTCAACACGGCTGGGCATGTGACCTTTGTGATGTTCTCTTCCTCAGAAAAGCAGTTAAATCTCTTGGACATTCAGTGTTCTCCTCTGCTCAGATCTATAGTCTTTCTGTAGCCATGATAACCCATTTTCCCCATCTGCTTTGTTGTGACAGTGGCAGGGCCCAGCAGGRCAGCTCCCTCTGTGCTGGGGTGTTGTGGTGGTGCAGAGCCCAAGGGCAGCCTGACTTTTCTCTGCATGGTGTGCCACAGGCTRTGGGCAGAAGCTGCTGATCTGGACAAAAACAATTTACTTTTTTATGACTCCCCGTTTTACTCCTGCCACCAGAGAGTAATCCTGACCCAGAGGGGTCTCCCACTGGCAGAAGGGAAGGAGAGTGCAACTTTCTTTGTGCTTGTRTGTTGCAGTTTGTCCAAAACCAGTTTACATCAGTAAGCTAAAATAGTGCTTGACTGAAGAGGTCCCAGTCTGGGGTAAAATCTGCCCCAGCACTGTGCAGTTACTCCCATCATTGCCCTACAAACCTGTAAGACTTTAGTGKTTCCCTTCCCAGCTGTTTACAGAGGTGGCAAGGCCAGGGCTGGGCAGGACACGTGGGAAATGTTCCCATCTGTGTGGGACCCACGGGCTCCTGGCTTTCCTCTGGATTTKTTGGTTTAGGTGTTTGTGTGACATTGCCCCTGTGGTGTCCAAACTGTCCATTATCCAGGCTTTGAGAGGGGAGAGGATTAAGTGTGATCTAAGCAGATCTGAGCAGTGTGGTGCTGCCTCGGGGATTGAGCAATTGGGGCAGTGGCGATGGTTGGAGCACTGTGCCTGCCCGATAATGTGCTGTACCTGTCAGGTGATCTTTATCCTGAATCCACTGCGCTTGCAGAGCCAGGTGAGCAGTKAACACACTCCTTTAATGCTCTGTACCTGAGCAGGTCATGGTGGGGTTCTGGTTTTGAGCCTCTGCAGTGCCTGAGACAAATACAGAGCACAGAGTAGAGGCTGCTGAGGCTCAGCCTCAGCAGGGACAGCCCTATGGTTGTGCTGCAGATGGAGAGCATTTCCCAGCCCTGTTTACTACTGCAGGTCAGGGTCAACAGCTTTGCAGCTCCAGCACAACCTCCAACAAAACACTTCCAGCAAAACACTTCCAGCAAAACCTCCACCTCTGGTGGAGCAGTCTTCTGGACCAGCTCACTTTCCCACAGCAGGTGCATCAAGTGGTTTGATTTTTAACTTTATAAAACAAAAGAAGGAGTTGGCTGTTTGGTTTCTGTTAACTTTTTGCTTCTAATGTAGCYGTTTCAATAAGATAAAACATTTTCATGGGAAAAAAAAGGCTCTTTACAAAGAAGTAGCCTTTATTTTTAATTGACTGCCATACTGATGAATAAATATGAGTCTACACYGAAAATATTTTCTGAAGTAGTTTCAGCCCACATGTCATGGGGTTTGTTAAAAATAAATAAAAGTTCTTGAGAAGAAAATACTGTGAAATRTCCCTAGATACCTTTTTAAAAATACAATCTGCCCCAGAAATTTCTGTGAATATCTTTGTAGAAACAGGATTGTGCCTGAGAGTCAGAGAGAGTAGATGGAACTGTGCATGGAAGTGCCATGCCAGGCTGGATGAAATGCATGTTTAAACAGTAGAGATTCATCAGGGCTTTTTATTATTGTTTCTTTTTAACTATTTAGAGTGGTATTGATAGTTTCTCAGATGATAAATGCTATAATGTAGTGTGACAAGCATAGCCATACTTGCCTAAAAGAAATAAGAAATGTTGTTTCCTATCCTCCAATAATTTTTTACAAAAAATTAAGAGTTTTTATGGCAATGCCTATTCCTTTTATGAGTCTTTTCATGCAGTGTTCTGTGGTATTTCTTTACAGACTTTACAGTCAGATGCTTATTCTTTGTTTTAACATGCACCATTACAAAAAAGGCGAACATTTGGGAATGTATCATCCGTAAAATAAGGTGWATCTGTGAAATTATGTCAGATGAGCCAAGTTCATCTGAAACATTTGTTCTCAGCTTTGGATGGGCCAGTTGGGGGAAGAGGTTCTCCTTGTAGAGACAGTCCARAGAAGAGACAGAAATGATGAAAATGCCAGCTGTGAGGAACCTGAAGGAGCTGTGGCTGGTTAATGTGGAGACTGAGGATACTGCAAAGGGTAAATTCCTGTGGTAGCTCAGRCAGACTGACACCTGTCAGGCAGATCGGGGTAGGCAATAGGAAGAAGTTTCTTGCTGGCAGCAAAGCACTGAAATAGGTGGCCTGAAAGGGCTGAGATTGGTATCCTCAAAGGGACAGATTAGASAGTAATGGTGATACAGGCCTTGAGGTTAGGGAATGGGCGTGATGACCTGCAGATCATGTTTGTCATGAAGGCTGGGATTTATTCATTTTTAATGATCTGACTCCCAAGGCTGTGGCTTTGGAGGAAAAAGCAAAGTGTCATGAAACTCACAGTSACTTGAAAGGTTTGGAAACAGTGGAAAAGCTGAGTGAGCTAGAAACTGCCWACATGGACAGGAGCAGAACTTTTGCTCCCTTGAAGGTGTGCCTTACTGCCCTCAAGTTGGCCAGGAGAGACCAAAAGGAGTAAAGTGGCAAGGCAACACTTGATTTACCTTTCCTCCACRCCCTGCAGCCTCTGGCCATTTTCACTGTCTTTTGAAACACAAARTGATCTGCACCAGTGGTGTTTGAATAGCAAATACCAGTGCAGCATAAAGCAAAGGGCACACATATTAGAAAGTGAGCAGCTCCTGGTATTTCATAGCATAACATGCAGCAGAAATGCTTGCAGGCTGCTGTTCTGTTGTTTTTTGATTGCTTTACAAAGGTTGAGGGCTTATCCTTGGTCTCATTTAGGGCAGAAAGAAATCAGGAGAAGAAGAACGGTGGTAAAAACCAAGCAAGCAATTTGGTAATTTATATGCATGTTTTGCTTGTAGCATGCTGAGTCAACTGTTTACCTGTTAGTAGGAAAGGGCTAAAATAAAATACTGTCTTGGTTAGGTTAATACCACGTGAGGAGCTCGAGGACAGGGAGGAAAGYAGAGCAGCTTGTTTTGGAACTTGTGCTGGAGAACAAATAAAAACCCCCAATGTACACATTCGGTTACCATATGTCACGCTTATCATAAAAGGCATCTCGGTGCTATTTCTTTGCAGGGATGCTTGAAGTGCACAGAGCAGACTTCCCTGTTGAGGAGAGCGCATGCCAGAGGTGCCGGGGTTGCCGTTGGTGAGATGAGCGTTCGTGCCTGTTGAGGCAGCCCGCAGCTCCTTGCAGAGCTTCCCTCTCTGAGTGACGCTGGCATCCACATCGCTGCAACCGWGCCTGAAGAAAAGCAAAGGAGCCTAATTTTGCTGAGAGAATTTTCCTGGCAGGGGAAGGCATGCAGTGCAGAGGGACGTGCCAGCCAAGCGCCTGGCAGTGCAGGTGCAGGTGCTAACGTGAGTTCCACCCAAGCCATGCCGTGGTGAATCCTCTCTCCAGCCGCGTCTTGCTCAGCACCAGGGCGGCTGTGAGGGGCTGCCCATGGCACTGCTGCAGCCTGGGCTGGATTAGTGCCTCTGTCTTTGCTCCAGCCAGCTGAAGAACTGAAGAAGATTGTAGGGAAGATGTTGGACYTGAGCTTCCTGACCGAGGAGGAGTATGAAAAGCTGATGAAGGTTCTGCAGAGAGATGCAGAGCTGAAGAAGAAGGATGGGGATCGGATCAGGTGAGAGAGYGTGTGGTAACAGCAGGATGTGAGCYTCCCTTGGGGGRATTTTTCATTTMTTTGAGAGRGGAGGGTGTGTGTGAATGTGTGCAACAAGGAGAGGTGCAGATTGCAGCAGGGCTGTCCCTTTTGCTCAGATCCTGATAGATCTTTTCATTGTACATCCTGCTTTCTCAGCCATCCTSCTGTCCCTGCTGTCCTCTCCTCAGGACTGCAGGACTGGACTCCTGAGCTAATCATCAGCCCTCAGAGATGCCAAGGGCAATCACCCCTTTCTGTTCTGSGGAGGAAGATGCYGATTTATTGGTGCYGGAGGTTTRAGAAGGGGAGTAGCTGCTACCTGGYTTTACTGACTCGGTAGCACAGAGAGGCCATAGTATGTTTTAAAATRAGATTTTACATCCCCTTCTCTGCTTTATGTGCCTTCATTGCTGTTTGAGATGGGTGTGTGTGCACCATCCACAGTGCAAAGAGAGGTGATTAAAGGCTACATGATCTGCCACAGGCTTGCAGGGAGCCRTTCCAGAGCCAGGGACTCTTGCTCAGTTCAGCTCCTTTGCCACTGGCCATCCTGGAACTCGGGTCTGGTTGATCAGGGTTGCTTGTTGCTGCTGTCACTTTTTAAATGCCARCCATTAGACCATCTGGGCTGACGGTGTGCACCAGGCTCAGGGAGCTGGCATTGAATCCTCCATGGCAAGAAATGAGTAGCTCAGTGAGTGGGGAAGGCACTGTGCCAGTTTATCCCAACTAAGGATGTGCGTCTTCATCTTGCTATTGAGCCAAAAAAAGAGTTAGCCCCCTGTAGGAGGGATGCTCAAGACTTGAAGGAGGAGCAGGAAGCTTTGCCACAGACTTCTGGGAGCCTGTGTGCCCTGGCCTCTGCTTGGAGGTGGGAGCTGGGGAAACAAATGGAAGCCAGAAGCTTGGACTTGGGGTGGATGTGTCTGCGTAAAAAAGGTGTTTGGATTATTTTGGTTTTGTTTCACTTCTCTTTGGAAGATGTTGCACAGGAGGCTTTCCCAGGAGGGAGTGAAGTGAGTTAGGTCCTGCCCAGAGCCCCTTGCTGCCAGTTTAGCTCCCTGCAGGAAGATGTGTTTGATTCCARCACAACCTGCCTGCTGGGCCAAATGAAGTCAATGGTATTTTCTTGATCTGGTGTCAAATAGGATTAAAAGATCSATTTCCTCTGGCCCAGCACCTTGAGACCCTCATGGAGGCAGGTGCAGCCTGGTCTAGGTGAGAGCTCCTGTAGAGCCCCCTGCACACCCTGCAGAGTCTTGAGCCCATTTATCCCATACCTGCTCCCTCCTGGCCTTTAGGCAGCCAAATGTGACCCTTCAAARCTCCAGGGTTATCTGGGGGTTTGCCCCATCTTCCTGCTGAGAACRGGGCTGAGGTGGGAGCTTCCTCTGGCCTCCCAGGCTTCACAGGAACCCTAACTGTGGTGAGCTGTGGGAGGCAGCTGATTCAGCAAGCCATGGTGGAAAAACAAAATGACTGGAGAAGGGTTAGAGTACAGTCTGGCAAACCACTGRCAGGTTTAGGTGCCAAAAACCAGCCCTGGGCATGCCTGAGCCAGTTACAGTAGGAAAAGCCATGCTCAAGAAAAAGCTAACCATGTGAGTGCCAAAATGGGCATGGCAGGAGTGTCCAGGGCGAATGCTGCAGGGACAGATTGTTTCCCTAAATATCATTATTTATTTCTGTGGCTTGCATCAAATTTGATCCAAAAGGCTTTGCTGCTCATAAAGAGATGAACAGACAAATAAAATGGAGAAGTGCAAGACAGACAAACAGCCCCACCCCTTCCTCAACCCTCAGGGCAGCCAAGCAAGCCGACAAATCTCCTTGCCAGGTGACTGATTTGRATTTGTGAAATTTGGAAGGGGTGAAAGCCTGTGTTTACAAGGTGCTGATCCYATTTCAGATAATGAATAAATCAGCTGCTGTTTTAATGCTGGTTTGGCCCTTGTGATTGCAGGGAATAGTCTCTGGGTCCTTCGTGGTGTCAGACAGGTGRATCCATGGACATGTTACAAAGAGAGCTCAGGGGAAGTCAAAACTTTGGAGATTTTTTTGATGTCTAATGCTCTTACTGACTTTCAGGCGGATGCAAGGCTCCATCAAGGATGAAAAGAAGAAGAAGTTTGTGACAGGTGAATGGTTTTCAGAAGTGAAGGCGAAACGGTTTCAGGAAGACTTGGAGGGACCGGATCTACTTCGGGCATCAATCAGAAGGAAAAAGGGCAAACTAGAAAGTGAGTATGTCAGTGTGCCTCTTAAGGAAACAAACTGATGGACCAGAAGAAAATGGTCCAGAATAGGAGTCTCKCTCTACTGAGAGTTTGTTGAGAAGCAGTCCCTGTGTTCTGATAAGRGGATTCTCAGCTATGTTTTCAGTACTAGAAAAACATCCCTTGTTATCAAAATCAGGGCCCAAAGGAAAAATTACAGCATGGCAGTGTACCAAGGCAAAACCACGTGCAGTGAATGCCTTTTCCCTACTTCAGCTTCTTTTTTTTCAAAATTTCTGTTTGTTAGAGGTCAATGGTATCATTTCTTAGAATAGAAATCAAAAGAGAAGGGGATGATGCAGGGCAGTTTCTGGCATAAAGCTGATATTTATGGGTCAAACACATCCTCCTGCTCCAACTCCTGAGTGGTCTGATGAGAGCTGCTCTCACAGGTTTCTGGGGTGGTGGGGTCAGTCACATCTCTGCAAAGGGAGACAGTGCCTCTCTCCTCCTGGCATATATTCACCCACTTGAGAGGGTYCATGYRTAGCTTTTTACATGGAAATAATTCMAAGACAAAATGTGGTTTTCCAAGTAAAACGGGCTTTGTGACCAGCTCTGAATGGCATCCAGGCTGTGTGCCACGGCTGGGGTGTACATGGGACCATGTGYTAATTGCAAGTAGATGTGCTGTGTGTTGTTGGATGTGCAGATAAACTTTCATGGTCCTGTGTAAAACAGATCAAAGCAGATTTGTGGGCTCAAAGCAAGAGAGCAGCCCTGTGTGAAACAAGCAGGGCCGTGTTTAGAGTCCAAATGTGGCCAGCCTGGAGCTGGAACTTTGTGCTGAGCATCTGTGCAGAGCAGAGCTGGGGATGATGGACATGAGGACAGGCCAGCTGCCCCTACAGCCCAGTGTCACACAAAGTCCTGGGTGATTTGTCAGGGTGGGCAGTCCCAGATCCTTGGCAAGCCTTGCTYCTGACAGGCAGCTCTAAKCAAAGTCTGCCACTGTCTCTAACACAAGGGCTCCATAGCTGGGCTCTGTTCTTTTGCAGTGAAGGCTACTGTCCSTGACAAAGGGGCATCTGTCCTGCACTCAGATGTCATCTCCAGCAGTTCAGCCATCTTCCCTGGGTCCAGCTTCCCATTTCTGCCGGGGGGGAGCAGCAGTATAGATCACTCCTCTGTGTGATGGGCCTCCTTGGCCAGGATGTCTCTGTAGCATGAACTGCCTGGGTTTAGGGTACCCTTCCTTGCTCCASATCACTTAGACACATTCTGAAAACTGAATGCTGACAAGGGACTTCACTGAGAGCCTCACTTTCTTTTTGCTCCTTACCTACCCCTGACAGCTCTCATAACTTAGCATAGATTCATTGGAGGCTCTTATGCAGAACTGGCCCATCATATTTCATATGAAGTTGCTTTTAACCTTGGTATTATGGATTCCTGATGTCATTGAATTTACTATTTTATTTTACCTCCAGAATGCTAAAACATATAAAACTTTTTCCATCTTGGCAGCATTGGAAGCCTGGCTTTTCTGCAGAGCATGCTCTGTTTTCTGAGAATGTGCACTTCATGCTTGCATGAAGGGGCAGAGCTTGGGCAGCCTCTGCCAGGGCCCAGATCAGGCAAATGCTCTGTCCCCTGCAGCCCAGCCACCAGCCTGCAGTGAATAGGATTGTCTGCCCTTTGCCTCGCACCCTTAGCTTGCTGTCACCTCRGGAAAGCAGAATCTGAAGTACTGCTGAGTTTGGATTTAACTCTTAGGGCTGATGTGCACATATGAGATGCCGTCTCAGGCCATCATGTAAAATAAACTCTTCACTAATACAGCAGTATTATGCAAGATATGTCATTGCACGTGCATTACTTAACTAATGTTGATTTAAGAAGGAAGAAGCAAATATTATTAAATTACTCTAAGAGTTGCATTAAGATTTAGCCTTTATTCCTTTTCAAACTTTTTTCCTTCCTTTTTTTCCTCTATTTCTATTCTCACACTTTGATAAAGCACAGGTATAACATGTGACTTTATTCCCTCCTCTTACTTTTTTCACTGCCATTTTACATCACTGTTGAGCATCAAGATTCTGCAGCTGRTATATTCACCTTAGATGAGATAAGGGCCTTTGCTTGCCATATTGACACCTTTTTTTCTTCATTTGGAATGATCAGTCATTCACCTCTGTTGGCTTTCAAGGTGAATATATCAGCTAAATGTGTTCGTTTAGTCAAATCTGTGTAACGTGTTCATAACTCCTGATTTAAGTCTTAAGTCTGTGTTAGGGAGTGAAATGAAAAAAATCCTGCATGGAAAAGCCCCATTGAGATAATTGCTGGCATTTCCTTTGCAAGGTAAGTGGGCTGAGGAAGGGTGGAAAATTGTGCTTGCAAAGGAAAATTCCCAGTGATCTTTTCTGGAGGAGGGTTTTAGCCTTCAGAAGGGAGGGTTGTGGGGATCTCTAAGGGTTTTCACAGTTGGCATTGATTGTAGTAGAAAACACTAGTCGTGGGGAATAATATGAATCTATAAAASAGATAGATACCCTATATTTAAACTATGGCCTGTAGAGCAGCACAGTTGGATGAATTTGATGACAACTTCTCCTTGAGTTTATGTGCAAAACTTGAGTGCTAAAAATCACCTACGAGAGAGACCATTTTATCCATCTGCCTYGGCAAACAAGTCCCGATGCACAGTTAGTTGTGCTTTTCCCAGGCACTGAGAATCTTTGTTTTAGAGTAATAGGAAATGAGTAAAAGTGTTAGRGCAGGAGTGGCTGTATACACATGTATTAAAATATATGTATGGACAAGTTAAACTGGTCAGGCCACTCCTAATTTCTGTTGGAATTTACTTCTTATGTTGTCTCATCCTAAAATTAGCCAAGGCATTTTGCTTGTCTTGGTGGATTATAATGYACTAAAATAGCTTATTTGTGTGCGGTGGTAGGAGCCAGGCATAGCTGTGTCAGTGGCTGAGCTGTTCTGCAGGGCAGGGATTTGGATGGGTGGAAGTGAAGATTTCCTGCTGCCTGTGCCAGCCAGGAGTGAAGAGCTGTGTCTGAGGGCGAAGTGTCAGTGAAGAGCGAGGATGACACGGTGCCTTTGCAAGGGAGGCGAGAAATGAATGCAGGCTTTGGTTGTCAAGGTCTTTGCAGCATGACAGGCGAAGGGAAATGTGGGAGCTCTCTGTTTTGTTCCTTTACTTCCAGCACAGCTACCTGCTGGCATCTCCCTCCCCCAGGTCTGAGGCAGAAGAGGAGGATGTGGCTCACTGTATCAATAAATCTCCTCAGAGTGCCTTCCCATGTCTGCACGTGCCAGGGTCTGCACATGCCACCAGCCTCAGGTTCTTTCTTCTAAAAAACATTCAGTGATGCTCCGTGTGCATCAGCATCTGCATGGGCAAAACAGTTCCTGTTTCAGAAACATGCTCTCTAAAACAGGCTCGTTCCTACACCACCAGATTCGTGATTTTCAGCAAGAGTGACTCCCYGACCTCCCACTGCTGTGGAGACCATGGGGCTATCCAACTGCCCTCTTCTGTGCATGTCAGATATGCAGTCCTAATGCAGACAGCTCTGAGCAGCAGCTGCTGCATCCCTGCACCTCAGGGCCAGGCACTGGSCAGGCAGCAAGATTGGGAATGCAGCATTTTTCTCCATAGGGATGTACAGACCAGGGGGAATGAATCTTTGGATATTCCTGCCACTTGCAGGATGACTGTGCTGATGCTGGGTGGTACCACACAGGCAGTGTTGAGTCTTGGCTGTAGCACTGGCCTGCTCTTGGGCCTCGTGTGGTTTTCCAACCAGATAACAAGCAAGGCTATACTAATTCATATCACTTCTGAATCCTATGAGCTTCTTTTTCTAGTGTATTGTTTAATGAAATATATCCTAAAATGGTTTGGTAGTTCTTGTAACAAGTAGATTTTCTCTTTAAAACAGATCTAGCTGCATGTGAATAAATACATGTAGATCTTGTTGAACAGACAAAGCTTAGTTTTTATTCAGTCTTTGAGAGTTTAATCCTTTTGGTTTTRCAGTAGCGAAAAAACCCATTTGCTAACAAAATATCAAATGCAATTTTATACCCCAGCAGCCTGCTGTAAAGGTTACTCTCCTCTATTGTTTTTTTCTTTGGGAGCTTAGAAGATATAGCTGAGYCTTATGCCAGTAAAAATAACAGGGATCTCCTCATTAACTGTATTGGCCTCCTCCTTTGTTTGCCAAGATCGGATGACTTGAGTCAAAACAGGAAATGGCTGAATTTAAATCCTGGAACGGATTAACTTTATTGACAGTCACGGCAGCATCCTGCAGGGGTTTGCAGCGATGTGATGGCTCCTGGAGCGAGTCGGGCATTGGGCAGCTTTGGCCTCTTGGACCGTGGGGTCTGGAAGTGCCTTTGCTGCCCTGGGGCCCCCCATCCATGGGGAGAGCAGGCAGAACCCCTGACAGCYCTCTCCTCTTAAACCCCCAGGGATTGTGCTGGTGGGACTCATTTTTATCAGGGAAAGCTTTTTCTTACCCCAAACACAACACACCAACTGTTATAAGTTTAATGAAATGTCGTTTCTCCTGTCCCTGTTACATTACAGATGAGGCCAAGGAGCACATCCAGATGGGTCTGGAAAGCAAAGCTGCCCCGAGTCCTGCCTTCCCTGAGCACGCTGCTGATGCAGGAGAGGGAAGGTAAYGCTGCTGCACTTGCAATGCTCTGGCTGCTGCTTTCCCTTCTAATGAAAATGGARTGCTACCCATTAAACCCTGGTCTTTAACTGAGTTTCCGAGGCTGTATAAGTAATATCTTCTATAGTATATTTTTAAGTCCTTCTTCCAGGAATTGTCAGAATATCAATCCACCCCTAATAATCAAGTGCTAATGTGCTTATCCCACAAAGGTCTTTTCCTGCATGATTTGATAAGGGATTAGTAAAATGGAAGCTGTCTCTAATGTCAGGATATGCTGGTTAGTTTTTCAAAGTAATTATGGTTCTATTTGTTTAATTTTTGCTATGGAGCAACACTAACAAAATGAACTGTTTGAGGAAACTGCTCATTTCCTGCTAGTGCCTACCTTTGTGTCCAGTGCTCAGCACTCTCCATCAAAGCTTGGTAGGATTTCACGTTGTGCTGACTGAGCAGAAAYATCCCCAAAAAGCACTCCAATGAACAAGTCAGTGACCTCACTCAATATCCGTGAACTATGGAGAAGCAATTAAAATATTCACATATTCATGTATTGTTGTTCCCATCTCATTTGCCTCTTTTTGTCAGCAGAATGAGAAATCATTCTTCACAGGTAGCAGTTGCTCCAGTTAAATATTAAATATGGGCCTTGACAACACTTGGAACCCTCTTGCAGCTGTGGGTGTTGTTTAATGAAGGATCCAGAGGCAGCAAGCCTGAGGTGCTTCTGCTTTGCTGGCACAACACCCAGTGGTTTCTTTTTCCTTCTTTTTTTTTTTTTGGGAGGGGGCGGGATGTGGGCATTTGGTTGAATCCTGAAAAGCTTGCTTTGTTTTTCTCGTTCAGTCTTAAGCAAGGCGCGGCCTGTTCTTCCTGGGCCATAGCATAGAAATGCATCTCTCTTCTGCATGGCCCTTGGGCTCTTCTGGCACTCCCCACAAGGGGAAAGTCTGAATAAACCTAGTGGTTGACACACATTGTTTTTATTGAGCAAGTTCTCTGTCTGGGCAAAGCTGAGGTGGTGTTGAAGACTGCCTGAGCACCCAGCCAGCACTTCATAACCACGTCCTCCTTGCCCAGGCATTTCTCTTCTCCCACAGATCCACTACGCCTACTTGTGAAACCACAGAGCAGAAAATTTTGCCAAAACCGAAGCCAAGACTTCCTGTCCACTTGTCTGCAACATACAAGGTAGTAGAGGCACAGCCTCTGTACTTTGTTTTGTTATTCTTTGGAGCTTCACAGAGTCTATAGCTACTGACAGGGGCTCCAAAGGCTGCCTGCCCTGGTGTTTCTGCTCAAATAAAATACGTTTTATCCAGTCTTTCCAGTATATATACGCTGATACAATTTGTTTTCTGTTCAGAGATCCAGCACACATGATGTCTCTTCCTCAGAGAGTGACTCTGGAACAAGTCCATTTGTGGCTGCAACAAACAGCTTTCATTTGTCTAAAAAAGGTAAGTTTTTTGTTCAGTGACCTATTGGTGTTTTTGTTATTCAGCATCAAACACCAAGAGACAAGATGCTTTTYACTGTGTGTACAAATAAATAACAAAAAGCACTTTGGCATTTAAGAATGGGCTGCCAACATTTGTATGAATTACACTCAGGGCAGCAAGGACCGAGGCAAAAAGCAATCTAATGACTGAAACTTCTCCAGGCTCTCAGTACATTTTAGACTGAGTGCTTGGCTCTSAACTGTAATCCAGAAGAGAACTTACCCTCTCTTTCCAGCCTTGAATGTATAGTGTAGTTTTGGAACACAGCAAATAGCCAGTAGTGAAGCTATCAAATTGAAAGGGAAGCTGCAAACAAATCCACAAGTCACAGCAACAGTTTCAAACACAGTGGATTTTTTCCATGCCCTGTTCCAGGGAGAAGGACTGGGCTTTTCAGAGCTTTCTTCAGATGGAAGGAGGCTTTTTAGATTCTGAATATGGAAGAGAATTTGGAATACATTGATGATTTCTGAAAACTCTCCCAGCTTCATATTGAGAAATCGCAGCCCAGACTTTCTGGGGAGATGGGGTGTGATGCAGTGGGACAGGCTCTGAGCATTTGTTGTTGTTGTAGGTCATGGTGTGTCTCCAGTGCCCACCAAGCTTTCAGAGGAGGCTGTGCCTCAGCCCAGCACTGCAGCTGGAGAGGAAACTCTTGATGGGGCCACCAGCACCACAGAGGAGCCAAAAACTCCACCTGAAGAAACTTACGCTCCCAGCAAGATACCAGTTAAGAAGAGACCAAGCAGAGCTTTGCTCAGGTGCGAGCAGTTGGTGAATCATGCGGGGCCAGCAGAGAACAGCCTGGCAAAGAAAGCGCCGCAGGTAATGCCCAGAGCACTGCCCTCAGAGCGYGAGAGCAGCCAGGCCGGTAAGCAAGGCGAGAACTACACCATCTCATCCATGACTAACAAAGAGGAGGACATCGGCCTCGACCGCGAACACTTCAGGAACCTGAAGAACTTTTGGGAGAAGGGAGCAGACTCCGTGGCCGCGGGGAGCGCGGCAGCRGAGCAGGGCTGGGCCGAGGCGGACGGCCGGCAGTTCAAGCTGTGCCGCTCGCTCTCTGCGCACTCAGGGCAAGGCCAGGACGCTGAAGAAAAACCTGGTGCCTTCACCAAAACAAGGACCCCCTACAAAAGGACAATAACGCTGTCTTCTAGTGAGGAAGAGCCGAGCTGTGCCACTCCTGCGAGGAAGGGCTCCGTTTCCCTCGCTCCCAGATCCCCGTACGCCAAGAGCACGGGCGGCCTGGTTACAAGAAATGACTCGCTGAGTGAGGGCGACGGGAGGCTGCTGCWGCCAGAGCAAGAGAAGGCAGTGCAGCACTGCTCCAAGAAATCCAGATTGCCTGTGCGAGCGCCTTCCCTCACACTGGAGTCACCTAGCCGGGATGTGTCTGGCAGCGTGCTGGAGCCAGGGACGCCCACGGAGGAGCTGGTCATGGCACAGGAGCGCAGGACCACAGCAAGATCCATGACGAGCAGGGTGCAGATACTGATCGAGCCTGTGCTCACAGATGGTGAAAGTGATGGTGAGGAAGGGGRAAGAGAAAGATGTGATTTGGGCACTCATGACAACATGGAAATTAATGGAGAGCTTCCTGAGGAAAAAATGTGCGAGTCTTCAGACCAGCCAACACCCGGTGAACCATCTGGAGAGAGAGAAGCCGTTCAGGGAATAGACTCAGCTGTTTACTCAGGTACTGAGGGCTGTGGCCACACCCTATGAAATCTAAATAGAGAGCCATCCCTAGGCCTGTTTCCTCCCTAACCCTTCTGCATTTTTCACATTTTCTTCATCCATCCATTTACCTTGCATTGCAATTTGTGCAGAGTTAGCTAGTGTGRAATGATTCACAAGCAGCTCTGGGAACAAATCCTGTGTAGCCTAGTGCAAGAGTAGAAGGGGGCAGTGCCATGTTCCTTTGCTTTCCTCCCCAGCCCCTGTGCCTTAACCTGCAAGCACCTCACCTTGGTACAGCCCTGCACTACCTACAACACATCATGGAAACTCACTTTGATTTCGCTCACTGGCAAGGTTATATTTTCTTCAAATGTAGGACTGGAGGAATTCCTTAYAGTTGTAGAGATAAGTCTAAGACAAATAGAAGAAATAAAATGTGAAGCAAAGTGTTTAATGAATACACTGGCTCTTAGAGTACTTTGATATAACCACTGGCTGTCAGTGCTGAAATGACATTTTGGGTCTTTTTGGAATGCACAAGTCAATTTTGATACTAAACTTTAAGCAAAGCAGACTGAATAAGGAGTCTGATCTTTCTGGGTTCTGATACCATGTTCTCAGCTGTGGTGGTGTCAATAATATCACCATTTTAGCAGCCTCTTTCTCTGGGTTTGATGGGCTCTTGTAGTGGCTCTTACTATGAAAAAAAATGGTCATTTGCAATTCACTTTGCATTTGSGCTTTGATTACACAGACCTCTGCTCTGTTCCAAGAAAGACCTACAGAAAGAGGGCATCTTACCCCCTTTTTCCAAATTTCCTGTCCTCATGTACCTGGGTAAGACCTGTTTGAGAGGATTTTCCACAGACTCATTTTTATTTTTTGATTGTGTCATTTCTTGGCTTGTTTCCTGCCTCATAACATTCCAATGAAAATCCTGAGTTACACTTCAGGTCAGTGCAAATATTTTCTTTATGGAATATTTCGGGTTGTGAAAGACATCTAAGATCTTAAAGTCCAATCATTTATACACCAGATCATTGTAATATTTCTTGAGACTCTTTCCTTTATTAATTTGTTCAGTTCAGGATGATATTAGCAGATGTCTGTGTTTCATGGAAGCTCTTCATAAGAGCTAGTCTGTCTTGGGGACTGGGATAATCCAGTATTACATTTCCTGACACCGTGTGAAGAGCTTTTCTCAGGGGGGACATCAGAGCACCCAGATGATTGGAGAGCAGCCCAGTCGTGTTCCATGTGCAATGGAACTGCAGTTTAGCTCCAGGCAGAGCGAACAAGGGAGGCACACACACACACACAGGCTTGTTGACACACTGCCCATTCCTGTTTATTTATTTACCATGTTGATTTGGCTTTTCATGTGTTCCAGAGGAAGATGGGGATCATTCTGCTGCTGCTCAGGCACTGGCCCGAGCAAATAACATTAATCTTGCCAAGAGCATGGTGAACATTTACACGACCACAGAGAGTGAGTAACATCTTTCTTTCTTTTTTGGTTTACATTTGCTGAAGGTAATATATTATGCCAGGTTTTCATCACCGTGCTTCTGTGCATGTACCAGGCTAGGAAAATGACATATTGTTTCATCATCAAATTAGAGAGTTTATAGTGCCTAAAATTAAATTCAGAGCCAGGAAATTGCAGCTAGATTGATGGCTTGTTACTTCAGTAAAAACATGAGGGCTTCAAAGTGTTGGCAAGAAGCTTGAGCTCGTCTCTCCTGTTGCTGCACAAGGGCAGCTTTGGGAGCTGCTGGCAGCCTGTGGATCAATCTGAGGGGCCAGACCTGGTGTTGGCATGCAAATTGTGACACAGATTCCTGCTCATGAGGCTTCTCCCCTCAGCCAGAGCAGAGCCCATGGCTGGACTGATGTCCCCAGCTGCCAGCTGGGACATATTTTATGGTGACAGTCTCTGYCTGAGAAACCCAGAGAAGAAAAAGCAGCAGCCTGCCTGAAGAAGCCCAGAAAAGCTGCAGCCATGGAAAGCGCCTGAGGGAAGGCAGCGGCAACTTCTGTGCCCAGGAAAGGCAATGACAGTCCCCAGAGGGTGAAAACTGGCAAGCCCAAAATGACAGCTAAGAGCTTGCCTAAAAGGGAAGTGGTGAGGCAAGGCTGCCAGGACTGAGGTGAGAAGGATGGGAAGGCAATGCCCAAGGAAAGGTGAAGCCACTTAGARGCTTTGATTGAGCCAATTTATGTCCAATCCCTGGTTCTGGGAGGGAGGACAGTCCCCTCTGGGGCTCTGTCAGAGGCAGCTTGCAGCCAGGTCACAGTGCACAGCTGGGTGGCACCTCGTGCCAAGCACTGTCCCATCATGTGGTGCAGGGCATGTCACAGGGCACAGTGACTCAAACCTCCAGGCCCCACATTCCTGTTTGGGTATGTGGTCCTCACACACACAACCAATATTTCAGCTTCTGAGCCCCAAACCTCATCCTTGGAAACCCTYCTCTAGAGTTTGCAGTATAGCAAAYCATCTGTGGAGAGGGCTWGGTACCATTATTTRCTCAAGGTTGGAAATAAAACCAGTAAATATCAAATGAATGGTAAATGAAGAAGCTCTTGTGCATTTTGAGCACCAAAGAATGTATCATCATGCCTAACGTGCTAAACAAGTGTGTATATGAACATGAATGTTCTTTTCAAACAGAAAAATTTCAAAATTCTTCTGGGATGGAGAAAGTAATCTTTAAGAGACTAACTGGGAGAGTATAAAGATAGAAAAAAATAGGTTTTAGTGAGACATACAGACAGTCCAGTAACCATCTTTCTATTGACAGGTAGCTTTCTGAATTGTTTCATTTAGATAATCTGGCTATTGCCCACCTCTGTGTCTATCAGACAYATTTGAGAGGTGTATGCAATGGTGAAATTTAATGGTGAGTTTAAATATTTCAGTGCTCTTTTGTAGAAGGCAATGCACTATGAGATAAAAATGGGRAAATGATTGGTTTCTTTGACAGGGAGACAGATTTGTGCGATTTTAGTGTAAGTGTACACAAAGCAGTCAACATCCAYGTCCTTGTGCTGATAAGGGCATTAAATGAGCCACTAGAGGGAGTTCCACACTCCCACACAGTGAATGAAGACAGTGAAAATAGCTCTGAGATGTTAATTAGCAGTTTTTGTCTTGGGGAGGATCAGCTTCAATGACAGGTGACACAGACAGGGCAAGTAGGTGGTACTGCAGTGCCTCCCACAAGCTTTTTCTCCTTCTTTTGCTCTTAAACAAAAGTGTGATTTTCTTGTATTTTCCTGACACTGACGAGCTATCTCGATGCCTTTTTTGTTTGTACCTGCAGCATACAATAAACCTCATTTGATACCACATCAATTCCTTGAACCCGAAAGAGTCAAAGAGCTGAGCAGATCCTCTCCTCTCCTGTTGTCTGAGGTGGGTTGATGCCAGAAATGGCTGAAATAGTGTTCACAGCTTTCCCTGAGTGGCCGTTGGTTTCAAGAGAATGTTTCTCCTGGCCACCAACATGAGTGAGCATGCCTTGGTTATGCCATGAATAAATGAGAAAAGCCTTGAGAGAAAAGCCCCCAGTGACCCAGAGCAGCTGTTCCACCCTGGAGGAGTTCAGGTGCTTCCCTGTGTCTCAAACCGCGCTGTTGTGTGCCCTTTCCAGAGCCCAGGCGGGGCGTGCAGCTCTGTTTGGAGGCAGTTAATGATGACGTTCGGTGCTGGTTGGAGGGGATGCCCCTGGGGAGGCTCCCTGCACTCTCCTCCGCTCTCCTAACCTGATCTCTGCTTAATGGGACTCTGCTGAGCAGTTGGGTTTTCTCTCTAGTGTTGCAAAGTGCTCGTKCGGCAGAGCTCAAAGATGCTTCTTATTTTCTGAGCAGACTGAATCAGACACGGCTTCGGAAATCAGCTTCCAGCTGAACAGGCACAAAAAGACACCCAGCATTGGCAGCCACTCGTCCGACATGGCTTCTGTCTCCTCGGTAGGTACCGAGCGCCGGCGGCTCCTGCACAGGGCTCCTCAGTCGGATGCAGTGACGCTGCATTTAGGCTGGYGCTGCTGATGTGGCCTCTGGAGTATCCTGTTTCTGCAGGGCACATTATTAAAAGAACAGCGGTGATTAATTACCTGGGTTTAAGGAGTGCATCCAGGTACCATCTCAAAATAGAGACCCACCGAGGCGTTGTTGGCTAAATTCCTATAAGTGACAGCCCCCACCCCCAGGAATGGATGCTCGGAATCCTGGTAATGCAGAAGGTGGGGGAGCCTTTTCTAGGTGGGAAAATCAGGCACACGGCTATTAAGGGACATGTTTGTGGTTCAGGACTGCAGATGGGTGTCCGCTGCAAGCTCATCTTTTATCAGCAGATAAAAGCTTAGGAACTCAGAGTCGGACAGCGAACGCGTGTTTTGGGGCTTCAGCTTCTAAGGAAAGCTGAAAAAAGCTGAATGTATTCATTTGAGTGTTTTTAAAAGATTCCTTAGAGACAGTATTTGGGGAGGGAGCTGYTTAAAAGTGCTTGAATTTGCTGTGTTACTGTTATGGGTTTCTCCAAGGTGTATATTTGAGATTTAAAGAATATATGTGAAGCAAAGCTGGTAGGGAGAGGTCATAAATGTAGATCAATATGTCAAAACCTTTGGGGCACACGAGTTCTTCTAATTTGGAGCATCCGGGAGCTGAAAATGAGTCCAGGTCATACAGGCGTTGTTGTAAATCTCATTCAGGATTCTCTGAGTGGTGAGTGTCCTGATGGGATGGTGGATGCACCTCCAAGGACTGACAGGAGATGTTCAGCCGGTTTTTGGAGGTTGTAATAAAATTCAGAAYCAAAGTAAGTAGGGAAAGACAGAAGAATTGGGTTAATTACTAGGAAAGTTTTTTGATAAATGATCATGACTGTACCACAGAAAAGTGGCAAGAGGGTTAATGATTTGCTTTGTAAACAGCATTAGCTTTTATGATATCCTGTCAGGAATCATGAGTGATTGGTRCAATAGAAAATTCTCTCATCTTTCTGGAGCTGAGCTTTGCTTGTGCTTCATAACTTCCCACCAGTGAAAGACAAAGCCTTGAAAAAAAAAAAAAAAGCCCAAGTTGACTGGGAAAAATGCAATTCGTTCTGGGTAAGGAAGTAACTCTTTGGCACATAACTCTAGATCTGTGTCTGGAGAAACCTCATGTTCCTGCGCCTTTGGGACAAGTAGATGCACACARGCTGTCTCTGATGGGACAGGGGTTCTTCAGGACAGGGCTGTATCTGTTTTGTGTCACTTCATGCACATTGCAAGTAACAGACAAGATAGTAATATTCTTCCTACATTTCTAGTCTGATAGGGTTATTAGCCTGTTTTTTAAAATGGATTGACAATTGTATGATTATATATCAACCTGAAATGACAAGTTCTTATAAGATAGTTCAAGTTCTCTCAATATATTTATTTCTTAGTGATGAGATTGGGTCAGGATAGCAGTTGTTTGTGCTGTAAGCATAGGGAAGAGACTTCTGTGATCCCCCCACTAATATTTGAGTCTATTTCCCAAAGTTTTGGGAATCAGGAGTGAAAAAACTTCTTTATTTCTTGAACATTCAATGCTTCTGTCCTGGTCTAGGACAGCACATCCTTGTGAGACCTCTGTTCAGGTTCCCCAGCCCTGGCTTGTTTGAGAACAGCCACAGCTGTGAACCATCTCTGTGTCAAGGACACCACACTGCACGAGGATGGGAATGCCAGATAATTTCTCTGGGAATGCACTTCTGACTGTCTTTTTCCAGAACCAAGTCAGTGCCTGTTTCAGTGGCACTGATCTTGCTCTTCCCTCTGGCAGGTGAGTGGCAGTGTGCTCAGTGTCTACAGTGGTGATTTTGGGAGTGTGGATGCCCAAGGAACTGTGGAATTTGCCCTAGACTATGATGAGAAGAACCGGGAGTTCCAGGTGCACGTGTCCCAGTGCAAGGACTTGGCTGTAGTGGATGAGAAGAAAGGCAGATCTGATCCGTGAGTGATGTTTTGGTGCCTTGTGATTTCTACATTGCTGGATTTTGTGTTCTGGAGGATTWTTATTTTCTTTAAATGTCATGGTTCCTTCCTTCATTCCTTCCTGCCTGCCTGCTTATTAGAGAGTTTGGCGATGTAGGGCAATATCCAGCTCGAGTTTGTGTTCTTTTCTAGGTATGTTAAAACTTACCTGCTCCCAGACAAAGCTAGGATGGGTAAGAGGAAAACATCAGTGAAGAAGAGGACAGTGAATCCCATTTACAATGAGGTGTTACGGGTAAGAACAAACACACGCTCTGGAAACCTCTGTTGTAGTAGGCACCTCTGTCAGGCAGGTCTGGAAAGATTTTGCCTTCTTGGCCAGATCTTTTGCCTGCCTCCTGCCAACACTGCACTGCTCTTCCCTGGGATGTGTGAGGCCTGGGATGGTTTCTCTGCACCCATCTGTGTGGTATCCAAGATTTCTCTGCCAAAACCACGCAGCAATCTTTGCATGCAATAGGGACCTGCAGTCAGAGCAAGGGCTGTTTGTTCTCCCCTTCCCTGGAATGCAGTCACARGGCATGGGACTAGTAAGAAAGGTCTGCATTATGTGATCATACTCATCAAAGCATAGAGGATTAGTTAACAGTGCCCAGGCCTGTGTTGATAATTCTTGGAAGAATATTGGTTTTGCCCTGTGATGAATGGAACACCAGGTTTCCCTGTGCTCAGCAGAAAATCTTTGTTGGGGTAGTAGTATTGCTACAGGACAAAAAAAAAAAGTGATGTTCAGACTGAAACCAGTCCATTGGCAGTGCATGTGTGGGGTGGTTTGAGTGTCTCAGAGCCTTCTCAAGRTTTTGAGTAGTTTGTGAAAGAAACAGGAGACAAATTTGAACCACCTGACTTCTCTTTCTTCCTCTAGTATAAAATAGAGAAAATGGTATTGCTGATCCAAAAATTAAATCTCTCTGTTTGGCACAATGATCCATTGGGACGTAACAGTTTTTTGGGGGAGATTGAAATAGACTTGGCCAGCTGGGACTGGAGCAACAGGAAACTCAACTGGTACCCACTGAAGCCCCGGGTAAGTGTGTTTCAGCTGCAATCCTGCTTTCCAGCCCAGCCCTGAAGCCCTGAGGATGGCAGAAGTCCTTCCTGACTCCWCGGAGCTCTTTGGGTGTGGTAGAGCAGAACAACCTGAGCTGTACTAGGGAACAACCCCTGGACACCTTAGTGCAGTTCAATGCTCAGTCCAATGGCTTCTCGGGTCTCTCTTGCTGACTGATCTGTAGGGACACTTTCATAAACGCAATCTGACACTAATGACAGCAACTCTGACATGACTTTGCTGTGCTCTTCACTCACATGGAGACTGTCCCTTAAAAACAGACAGCAGAGTACTGGGTGAAGCAGCTGACATGCCTTGACAAGTAAATACTCAGGTGCCACTGTTTGTAAAGCATGTACAGCTTCCTGTGTGCTTCTGGATTCACAGATCTGAGATCCCTTTTCAGCAAATAGAGGACATTTATCTTTCAGAACCAAGATGCTTATATCCAGTTGGACATGTCTGAAAAGGCAGCCTTGTCCTCTGAATCCTCAGGCTTTTGGTTCTGAGACTGAGTTTGAGAAAAAAAAAAAAACCCTGTGGTAGGAGCTGCCCTATGAACAGGCTGCTCCAGCTATGGAAAATCAGAGTTTATCCATTTGTGCTGAAGTTAAAAGCTGTTTGCATTGCTGTTTTTCCACAACCCTTCATTTAGTCAGTCATAACTCTCTCTGTTTCAGAGCCTTTCTGCTGTTAATGGTGTGGATCATCGAGGAGTGATGAGTTTGTCCATTAAGTACGTCCCCCCTGGAAGCCTAGGTAAATGTGGTTCATGCATTAAGGACCACTGCCCATGTGCAAACACACAGCTTGCAATGCCTCATCTGCTTAGGGGCTGCTTAAAGGGGAATCTCATTAGAGCAAAATCTTAGAGATCAGCACAAAGCCACAACSAGCAGTGTCTGACAGCACTGCCTGCAGCCTACATCTGATTTTCACATCTGGTTTTACTGAGGAAGTGCTGGGGAGAGAGGAAGTACTCAACAGCCTCTAACTCATCAGCTGTTCTGAGCACTGTGGGCACTGTAGGGTGTTGTGATGTCATAGCAGCACAGAACCCATGTTACTGGGTGYGGGGCAGGCATAAGATTGGGTTGGCTCAGCAGTTCCTTCTCCTTTCCTGACTGAAACAGCCCTGGCAGGTTGTGTCAGGARCCTCTGCACTGGCAGGAGTGATGGAGCTGGCTGCAGAGCTGAGACCCCCAGGGAGGGGCAGTGAGCACAGGGGAGCTTTGGGGGACCCAGGGTACCTGGAGAGCAGGTCTGTCATTCTGTGAGCTGTGGCTCTGACTGGCATGACAGGTTTGCTCTTCACCTAAATGGCAGGGCCCAAGAATCCTCCCTCTGGCGAAGTTCACATCTGGGTCAAAGACGTCAAGGACCTGCTGCAGTTGCGTCCGTCTGGAGTTGACTCCTTTGTGAAGTGGTGAGTGCCTGAGCACGGTGCTGCTCCTGCTTTGTGTCCACACAAAGAGCTGTGTTTCCTTCTCACGCTCACCAAGCTGTGCCTCCAGACTGGAAAGCTTTGTGTGGCACTGGGAGAATTGTAGGGGAGAATTGCCCTTGTTATTGTGGCCAAATTAGGAAAATTCTCTCTGTGATAAAGCTCTTGGTCAGCATTCAATGCTTCATGTTGTGTTTTTTCTCCTCTCAAAGCTATGTGCTTCCAGACACCAGTAAGAAGAGYTACCAAAAGACCCGAGTCATAAAGAGAGACACAAACCCTGTTTTCAATCACACCATTGTGTACGATGGCTTTCATACCGAGGACCTGAAGGATGCCTGTGTTGAACTCACTGTGTGGGATCATGAAAAGCTTACCAACCATTTCCTTGGAGGAATCAGACTGGGCCTTGGGACAGGTGAGTAKTTTCCTTTATATTAACTCAATATAAAGTTACCAGTGCTGAACCACAAGGTGAAGTGGGAAGTTACAGAGTATTTTCCTGTTGAGGAGAAACCAGGGATAAGGTGTCTCAGTAGGTGGTACCTGCACCTTGTCRTGGATGGATGGGGCCCTGGTACCATGGTAACAACCCTCTGCTCCCACATTTTCTGCCAACATCAGATCTGAGGTCTGGCAAAACTCAAGAATCTCCTTGGGTCCCTCAGACAGGGCTCCTGCTGTTACAAGAAAGCAGGCTGCATGACAAACCACCATTATACTGGTKCTCCTCTCACAGAGGAGTGCCCTGGGTGGACAGGAATGTCACACGGGACAGCACCACCTGGTGACTGCCCAGCCTTGAAGTGCTCTCTGAGAGATTTCACCATGTTGCAATCAGGGGTAACTGTTCCTTCAGGGACAAGGTTCATGGTAGCTGGAAGGTCGGCCTTGCAAGTGCACCTGTGGCTATTGGATTTGCTTCTGTGTTCTCTGTTTTCAACCTCTGATGTCASCAGGAGCATTATGAACTCTCCAGAGGGATGGGGAAACAAGAATAAGACATAAAAATACGAAGTCCAAGATTAGCTGTGATCTAAATTTAGACTTCTGTCTCATTGACAAGTAATTGGCACCTGAAGATTTGGTTGAATTGGAATTGATATACACACTTTTCTGCTATGGTATGTTAGATTCCTGTAGAAAKGAAACAAGAAAATTTTGATGAATACTCCCCCTTGTCCACAAGAAAATCTTTAAAGGGGAAAACCAAAGACCTTTAAGACCTTCTTTACCATTTTAAAAGATGCTGAAAGGGCTTGAGCCCAGTATTGCTTTCCTTGGCTGGTTATGTTTARGGTTCTTGCATTTTCTGGCTTTGCAGTGACTTCATTCTGAACTGTGTGTAGAATGGACATTTGCAGAAGAGCAGGAGGTGCTCAGGTTGCAGCTTGCTGAGGGGAAGTCAGCATCTTTTATGTTAAGGCACTGCCTACAGCAGTTACATCCCTCTGAGTATTTTTGCACTGAGCTCTGTGTAGCTCCTTAAGTTTTCTCATTCTTTTCAGGTTTGAGCTATGGCATCTCTGTGGACTGGATGGACTCCACACAGGAGGAGGTGGCCTTTTGGCAGGAGATGATGTTGGCTGCCAATGAATGGATCGAGGGATTGCTGCCCCTGCGCTCGCTGGCAGGGAGGAAAAAACTGAAATAACCCATCAGTGGTGCCATAGACATGCTGGATGTGTTCATTAGAATTAGGAAACTTCCTCCACCGGGGAGAAAGAGACCATCCACAGGGCTGCAAGTGTGAGGGTAAAAAGGTAATTAATGGACATCACCTTGGAGGTGTTAAGTACTAATCCACTGACAGAGGACATGGAAGATGCCAAACTGATGCTACACTTGATTTTCACCAAGAAGAAACTTAATCTGCCTTTGTTTAAACATTTATGCATTTGAATTCCATTAAGCTCTGGGAACATTGGCAGAAGGAAAAGGAGATATGGATATTTTATTTTTTTGCTGTTTCTTGTGCCATTTTTTTCTGTGCGGAGATGTAGTTGTACTGGAGCAGCAGCATGGTATTATTCATAATCCCAGCGAGGGGTACACTTTGTACTTGGTGTACAATTGCTCCAAGTCACCAGCACAGTGTGACAACAGGAGCTTTGCATTTGTCACTGTGATAACACCTCTTTAACGTGAGGAAAATTGAGTTCCAAGGCGCATCTAAAGAAAGAGAGTACTATTTGCAGCAGAAAATGAAGCATCCTGAGAGGATGACAATGAGGAATTCAATATATTAATTTCTTTCTGCTTTAATCTGAAAGAGTGCAARGATGGTCTTACAGCTTGTGGAATTTTGCAAGCAGGGTCGGCTTTCCTGGCTTTCCCACAGGCTTCCTCAGTGACCTCAGGCARGTTTCTTTGTGAAAAGAGAGTTTGAGTGCAATATAAACTAAAGTGTTTGCCCAAATGTAAAATATGGTTACATTACTAATGGGCCTAATCACACCTTTGCAATGCCTTGTGTTTAAAACATTTCAATATGAACTAGTGATGTAGAAGACATTCTCATGTTAGCCTGGCACCAGGGGTCAGGGATGAAAGGTCAAAAGCACACTGGAATGCAGGGGATACTGGGAGGTGKTGGGAGAGGTAGGTAGAGAGTGAGTGGATGTGAAAGGGAGCTGCACAGCTACACTTTCCTGGGGGTCTCCTGCCTCTGCATCCCCTGCTGCCCTTCTGGTCTTCCTTTCACCTGATGCCTGTCAGTGAGCTGTCTGTGTCTGGATTTTCCCTTTTGCCAGTAGCTTGCAAAAAMCCTTTTCACCTGGCACATTGACTGTGGCAGAGTGGTGTTGTGAATAGATTTTGAATTGCAGCTTTGTAATTTCTATTTTGGATGTACATATTGTGATTAAATAGAATGTTTTTCTTTAGTCATCAATTGGTCTTCTTGTATCTATTTTTATTGTGCTCTAAATAACAAAAAAAAAGCAAGCAAAAAGGTGTTAAATTTTGTTGTGTCAAAATRAAGCATTTTTGCCAAAGGGTAAGTGAAATGTCATGAGGAAATATTTTTTATAACTATTCCACTTTAGATTTTGGTTCTGTGATTATTTTGATGTTCTTTAATGGATTGATTTTGTTTAACTCWAGCCTCGTGTGAATTTTCAGTTCAGCAAAGATGGCTGTAAATAAATGAATGGAAAAATGTACGCCTAGAGAAACAAGACTTTTTCTTTATATGGAAACATTTGGGAGATAATCAGCAGCTTTAATGGGAAGAAATAAAGAATTAAAGTGGTTTTGCAGTTGGAAAAAGACAATACTTGGAAAAGTACCAGTCACAGTAATAAAAGCACTAAGAGAGAGTCCACAGAGCAACAGAATTAAGCAATGACTGTCTAATGAAGGAACTGATATATCTGTAACATGTCAGGTCAAAGATATTTTGTATGGGCTCCAGCCTGACATGTTTTGTTTACCAAGATTTGGTCATTTTTGTATGTTTGTGGGATAAAATAACAGTACTGGGCTKAAGCTGAGAGCTTTAAAAATACTGYCTTTACCTTAGATGCAGCACATGTGACTATTTGTACATAGGTATAACTGGAGCCCTGGTCATAGGGGTGGTGGCTTGTTGCAGTGAAGTCACCCAAGGGGGTGCTGCTCTCCTCCCCAGTGCTTCCCTGTCCTCAAGGAGGAAGATGTTYCTGGGGCAGAATTTCTGCTGTGCCTGGGAGTGGTTGGTAATGCCAGAACCTTTGTGTTGGATAGATCCGGGTCTCTTCCTGGTGGGTTCTGCTGATTTCTGTCCATCATGAAAGTGGAGTTAACCCTGCTCCTCCTCATCCTCCTCCTCCTCATGCAGCATTAACTCATCACAATATTGCCAAAAGTTCTGTTTGCATCAATGGAGCTGGAAATGGTTGTGCTGGTGTTTCAGCAAATTAACATCTTTTTCATTGGTGGTGGCAGTAAGGGGAGAAAAAGGGGGTCAGTGGGCCAGTTCATCCCAGCAGAATTACTTTTGTGAACTTGGCACGGGACTTTGTGAGACTATTTTTGCATTCAGATTCCATTGAGGATTTYTGTTAATCTTTTGCTGGCTTGTTTATTTAAATTAAGCCCTGATTAACTTAAGAAGCTTTCTTTGGCATTTAATAGTTTATCAAAGTAAAAGATTACACTGCCAAACCACACACACTTTTGTCACACAGCTGATTCTGAGGCAGTAAAATTTGCTATGCTCTCTCTGTTTCACTTTACTGCACAGAAAGTACTTTATCATAAAATTATGTAAGACACATTTATTGCCGGTGTCCTGTGGAGGAGCAGAGGAGCTTGTGGGTATAAGGTTAATGGCCTGTTTGCATGTGCTTTATGATGCTGACATTTGTTGCCTGTGAATGTTGAACCTAACAGAGACTGTGGCCTGTAGGTGTGTGCTGATGGCGACAAGAGTGGGGTTGTAACTGGTGAAAAAATAAGAAAAAACAGATGGAAMGGTTTCTGACTGTATTTAGTAGGTCATGGGTCAAGCAAAGCTCCATGGAAAGGTAAGATTTTGTGCTGACATGGAGWGTGGTTTGTGTCTCTCACTTGCCTGCACACAAAGGTGCCGATGCCAGCGCTGCAGGGGGAGCTGACTGCAGTCCCTGGGCTCTTGTTGGGGACAGAAATGACCCCAGGGACTGAGCAGCCCAGGGAATGCTGGCTGACAGCCTGGGACCCTTGRGCACCATCCTCTTAGTATCAAACACAAACCTCAGCACCTACAGTACAGCTGGCAGCTGCTTTTCATAATGGTTCTGCATTTGCGAGTCAACGTGCTTCCTTCCAGGTTATGTCTGATTTATATCACTTTTTCGTGGTAATCTTCCAGGATTTAAAAAATTGGAGAGAAAGCAAAAGTCTAGAAAGTATTTCTGCCTCATCAGGYAAATAGAATGTGTGGCCTACGGCCATTCAAAATTATTCATATTACAGGTATCAGAAACAATTGCAAATAGTTTAGAGGCTAACTAAAGAAGAGAAAGAAAGAATTGTTGAATCTTGATGAGTGTCTCCGCAGAGATGGAAAAGAAGTGGTTGAATTAATTATCCATTACTAAATATTTGCCTAGCTTTATCCTTCACCAACACAGGGAAAAAACTGAAGTACTGTAGAGATTTGGAGATAATGCTGGCTAAATAAACCCTTGTGATAATGTGATCTGTTGAAATAAGAAATGCTGTATTTTTACAGTCTTGTTAAAAAATGTATCAAATAGACTGATGTATCAAAAAAAAAAGAATAAATAAACCCATTTCTGATCCTGATAACTAARCATGAGCATTTTCAGCACCAGGTTTGATTATTTGTTTTAGTCGTCTGGTTTGTACTTGAAGATTTTTCATGGCTGTATCCTTTTTCTTTTCCACCTGCTTACCTTGCACCCCTCAGGTGTTCGAGTGGATGCCTGGGAGCAATGTCCCTSTGAGCATTGTCACAGAGGTCAGCAGACATTGGGAAGCTCACTGCAATGCCCCATGCAAGATTAGTGCTTGCAAAGATGTGCAAGGGACATGTTCCTGGAGCTCCCAGCTGCTGYGGGATCTACTGGCCACGGGAGAGCCTTTGAAACAGAAATCCCTTCCCATGGGCTCAGCCAGAGCAGCCACTGCTTCCCAGGGATGCATTTTTGGGATGTTCCTGGTACTGGTGGCTCTGCCACAAGGAGCAGCTCTGCCAGGGTGCAGTTTGTGGGGCTCCAGGAAGACTCTGAGTGTGTTTTGGGACAGCAGGACCTGGCCTCTCCTGAGCAGSAGATGGCTGATTTGGAGCAATGAGGTTTGAGCAACACTGGGCAACTCCAGATTGGCCATTCCCACTTTTGGGGTATTTGCCACCTTCACCCACATTTCTGAACTCACTGGTTGCTTGGAAGGTGCAAAAACTGAGCATCAGTCTCCAGAAGGCCCATGGAGAAATTACTATMAATGGTTTATATGAGATCTCTTTCATCTGAGAGAGGGATGGCAATGATGGAGAGCTGGATATGTCTCCTTCAGGAGCCCTCCAGGAGTCTGGCAGCCCCAAACAAAGCTCCTTTTCATTTTGCATTAATTTCCCATTCCCAGCTTAAAGCCTCATCTCAGATAGTAAAGTCTGAATGGAGTGTGAAGCTGTCAGCAGGCAGCAGCGTCCTAGAAGGATGGAGTAACACAAACAGGAGCAGGGGCTGAGCTTGCCAGGTTTGCTGGTCTCACCAGGTTCATGCTGGAGGGCTCCAGGAAATATTCCTCCTGGAAAGGGGCTRATGTACAGTCACTGCCCTGCAAGTGACCTGAAATAAGCGCTTGCTTAAGCAGGCAGACATTTGCCTTTTAAAATGTTGTAGAATCGTACTGTGGTTGAACTTGCCTCTGGGCTGTGGCAATTCAGCCTCTGTTGTGGACCCAAACTAGCTAAACCAGCTGTGCTTTAGGTTGCTTTAGGAGGCAAGGAAGGAATCCTGAGCATGAGGGCATTTCTGCATGTTTTCCTTTTTTTCCAAGGACTGCTTTAGGGTTTAGTGAATTACCTGGATCTGTATACTACAAAATGGAAACTACACAACACCACAGAGCCACAAATCCTACCCCCTGCAGCACCTTAAAACCCCTCACGACTAATCCTGAACAAGCAGGATCATGTCCCCTGATGAAACAGGATGTGTTTAGTGGGGCTGAGCAGAGCAACTGCAGACCTGCCTGTGCTGCTGCTGAACTCGAGACGCTACCAGCAGGAACAGAAATCAGATTTCATGCATCTAACAACCCGTAATACCATTATAGTAGATGTTAACAATCCAAAGTAGCTCTTGAGCTGTAAGCAAGCAGCCTGAGCTCTGGACTCAGAGGGGAAGCCAGGGAGCTGTTTTCKGGCAGTGTAAGTAGCTCAAACACCCACTTTATAGCAAGAAAAATCACARTAAACTCTTTTCCTTCCCTCCTCTYTCTCTCCCACTCACCATTACTAATTTATCCTGATTGTAATGGCTTCTATTTGCTCTAAGCAGATCCTGTTCCCTTCCTGGGAAGAACAGCTACAAGGACATAATATTCCCAGTGGAGGATCTGTGCTTGGATTCAGGCATACACAGGCAGATATAATGATCTCTTGATGGGAGACCCCCTTTTAGATCAGCCAGCCCATGACCATTTAAATGTGATCGTAATCTGAAATAAGACACCAGGAGCTGCATCTGGACTGAGCCCTCCCGTGGTAATGAGCTGACAATTTATTGTCACAGGGAAATGTTTTGCAAATGTTTTATGTCTCTTCAAAAAACCCAGSTGACTTGCTTGGGGCAGCTCTTGGGGCTGAAGGCTGTGTCATGGGTGCTGTAGCACCAGAGGGTGGCTCTGCCACTTGCAGGGATGCAGGGACAGCCTCATCCTCTGTACACATCCACCCACGTGGGTCACACTGTCTGAGAGTTTAATCCTYCCTGTCCGTTCTGGCTGCAAAGCAAATGCTAGCACTGCCCTGCAGCTCTGCTACTGACTCAAGAGGATTCTCTGGTTATTTCTGAAGTTTCTCTGCATTTGTGTCTCCCATTCTCCCACTGTCATGGATCCTGGCAGCCTTGGCAGCCCCATGAGGAGGCAGAGCCACCTGCTCAGGGCATGGGGCARTTGAAGCTGTCTCAAGTCAGGCAGCTGCTCTGTGCTGGGCCTTTGTTTCTCTGMGGCCAAGGGGGAGACAAGTGGTGCTGGAGGATGGTTCCTCCCATCAAGCTGAGTGGGGTAAAYAGCTCTGAAGATCTTCCTGCCTCTCTCAGCTGGGTAAAAGAGGAACCTGGGCACCTAGTGTAGGMGAGCCATTTAGGTAATGGGTTCCTATATTGATGGGGGCCCATTAATGCCAGCATCYCTCAGCCAGGAATCTCTTTATCAAGCCTGTGTCTGCTTTACTGCTTTTGTTTTGATTCCAGTGTGACCCTGGGGAAGCAGTGGCAGCTCTGCAGGATGCCACCCCTGGGGCCCCAGCCAGCATGCCTGGAGCTGCCTTGGTGTGCAGTGCTCACTCYCTTGTGCACYTCTAGAAGCATTTTGCTGCTGGGGKTGTTTGGGAAGGCAGAACACACAAGTTTCCTGGGGACAGAGGCTGCCAGTCTGCCAGAGAACTCCACCTTTCCAAAAGGCACTCTAGCCCAGCCAAAAGCCAAGGTGGGACAGAAGCTGCACCATGTGCCTCCTGGCATTCAGCCCTGCCTGTTCTCCCCTCCTGCCAGTGCTGCTGCAAGCTCTAAGGCTGTCACCTTGTCACAAAATCCTGAATTATGCTCCCAGTGCCTGCTGTCAGCTGGGCTGTCAGTTCCAGGGCACAGTGTGGTGCCCTTGACTTTAYGCTTGTCTGCACCACCCTGACTAACTGTGGGCATCGTATAAATAATAAACACTAATTCTCCTTACTACCTTCCCTCTGTCCTGGTTTTACAGCTACACAGATCAGCCACAGGTCATGGGTGCAGTCATTACCTGTCAACAGTGTAATCTGTCTCCATGTCACATCTGGACAGGCCTAATTTAACAGGGATGTTTTTTGGAAATAGCTGATAAATTGTTTGTTCCAGGTGGTTCCCCAGCCCCRCTCTCAGCACTTCCATCACCCTGCTGTGTGGCCTGTGACTGTTTCCAGTGTCTGGGCTCTGGCCTGTGTGGTCATGGAGGGACTCAGGGCTCTGCTTGGTGCAGTTTATCCCTGCAGCAATGAGGGTGAGTGTG